CCCACAGCAGCTGGAAGCTCATCACAAGAAGACCATACTATGGAGTCCAGAGCGATCCACACTGGCTGATGGGAGCAACTTCGCTGCTCGCAAGCCCCTGCTTGACCTTTTGACTGCCAAAGACAACTATGCCAATGCCCTTCCTGCAATCCCTCTTCCGGATGCTGCACCAGATGGAGAACTAGATCTCTCCATTGGAGGTTTGTGCATTTTTATTTTAGGTTTAGGCTATCAAGCACTGACTGTTTTTTTTTTGTTCCCAGCCTCCACTGATGCTAGATCATTTAATTCAATGGCTAATGGCGAATCTAACGACTCTGAATTTGTTGAAGAGGAGCATAGCGACGATTTATCCTCACTCCCAGCCATCACATTTCAAGCCCAAGCATCCACTTTCCAAAATCTGGCCAATCCGCAAGTGGTAGATCCCCATTTGCTTGTGCAGTCCACTGCACCTATTCGTCGGGCACAGCACCAGATCCTGTTGCCTGGTGCTTCTGCGTCAGTTGTTGGCACATCAAAGTCTGCCCCGAGACGTTGTGCAAAATGTGTCAAGCAATACTGCAGGAAACGGCTTGAATCAAGAGGGTTTGAAAACCCGAAATATCTACATAGGGTCGGTTTTTTTTTTTCAGACGGTCGAGGGTACACCCTCCCCCCTACGTAAGCGATTGGTAAGCTGCACGTGCCATCAAATTCCCTTTTCAGGATGTATCCGGTGTACGCAATAATCTATGCCACCTTCGTAAGCTGCTCTTTCCCTTCTTGGCAGGCCTTGCACACCCATCCATCATGCAGATGTTCATCTGTGACACATTATTTCTCAAGGGAGCGTCCAAGAAAACAAAATTAGCTGATTGTGATTGGAAAGCGCGATGTCTCCGGCACGGCAAACAACACCCCCAAACATGATCAGAGGTATCAGTGACTCGTCCTGGCCCAGGAAGAGGCCCAGGAAGAGGTTTAGGTGAGATTGGAGAGTGTTTTATGCCTCCTCAGGCGGCCACAAGGTTCAAATGTTCATTTGCATAAAAGGGTATATAATTTTTTTTTCACGGCCGAAGGGACCCCCCACCCCCCCACCATATATGGAAATTTCTTATCTTCGGACCCTCTTGGCTTGAATGCCCGGGGAAGGGTGGCCAGAGGCTTTGCAGGTGCCCACATCCTCTTCTGATGCAGGGTGAAAGGCCCCGCATTTCGGAGGAGATGATAATTGCATACCTCACAGAGCAAGATCGACAGCGCGCAGGACTGGTGTAGATCATTGTGTAGTGGTGAATTATTTTTAGCCTCTTGGCCTCGCTCGAATACATCTTTTATGCAGTAAGTTACAGTATACATACATCAAGAGGTACCCACCTCAGAAATTTGGCACACTAGGTATAAAAACTGACTTAAGCTCCTTGACCCCCCTCCCTCCCTCTTTACCTAAGCATTACATAAGCACACGTGCCTTACAGAAGCGGTAATTTCGTTCAATTGTTCTCAGCATTGAATTTATTTGAAGTAATTATTCATCGTACTGAAATAAAAAGAGTTCGGCACCTAAAAGTGCCCCTTATCTCCTGCCACCTAGCATGATGCTTTTTTGCAAGCCCTTCCGCCAGCATCTATGCGGCACTCGTCATTGCAGTACCACTCGGATAGTTTTCAAGCCTGCACAACACAAATGAAACTTGGAAGAGATTGAGCTGTGTGCAGTGAGTCTGTAAACACAAACCTTGGAGCCACAAGCCGGGCCAGCGTATTCAACCATTTCTATGTTACCAAGTTTCGGTGCAATGCGGGTCAGCACAGCCGTGGCCTTCGCCTTCTTCGTCTGATGCGACGACAGCGCACTGGGCACCCCTCGTTACCCTACACGGGCCATGCCGCATACAAGACTTCTTATGGGCCTCTGAATCCGTGCCAACCTCATCAGCAGTGATCTTGGTGGCGGGCACAGTACTGTCGGCCAATGTGGGAGGTGTACTGAGGTGTATGTGCTTGGCATCGATGTCGATCGCATTGGAGTCGAATTGGGATGAGACAAACTTGCTCCCCGAGTGCCCATGGCCACCCAAAGAAAACTAAAAAAGATAATTTTTATTATTATTGTCTGAAACGTGTTTTTGAGGTGTCCCGCAACTTTTTCCAAAAAGTGAAATAAGGATCTCAGACCCCCCCCTCCCCTCTTACCTAATGTCTCGGCATTCTCCGGCGGGTACCCCTTGACATACATACAAGTACAGGTATATTACGACCACTTTGAATCAATGTGCATACGCTAAGCAGTGCAGCTGGCAAGGAGCCTGGTGCGAGGTGATTTAGAATGATGTCAAAGCTGGAGACACGCACTTTAATTAATTGAATTTGGTGGCCGGCGGGCACCGCAAGGGAGACGGAGCGAGCAGCGAGGGTGGCCGAGCATCGCAGCCGTGTTGATGCCAATGATGTGGCAGCATTAGCGGGCAGCCGTGTGAGCAGATCATTTTATCTTGATTTCTATTCGCTGTGCGCGATGTCCGCTTGGGGCCGTGCCAGTGCCGTGCCTCCGGATGGACATGGGATAAGCTGTCATCTTGAAAACGCCTCATGTACCAAACGGGGTGTTACCAACTGGCAGTTCCAATTGTGGGACCACGTCAGTATAATATATCCTCCTCCTCCTCCTCCATCAAGATAAATCAAGCTGGCGGAAATGTTTTTCCCGTCGCTATGGTGAGTTTGGACCTTAGATTTCTCACACACATGACCTACGGAGTCTCTTGAATCTCTCTCTCTTTTCTCACTTGAAAAAACCCGTCTCTCCACAGACATAGTACATGAGCCTTCACGGATGCGTCTCAACATGTTTTCTAACCTACACGTAGTACTGATGAAGAAAAAACCTCTGGTAAGGTTATAATTCCCAAGTGGTCAACTAGCTAGGTTGGTCAACTACCTAGTCCCATATAGTACCCCCCTCGAACTCACCCATCTGGTTTTCTGACCTCCTCGGACGATGAAAATTAGATAGGCCCAAATTTACATAAAAGAGGTTGGTGTATTTTTCAGGATTCCCGCCTACCTCTTGTGGCGGCTTGAAAGCAAGAGCGTCACACCGTGACACCGTGACCTTCCCTCTCCCGTCATCGCCTTCCGCCCGCGTCCTGAATGGCAGGCGCCTCACGCACGGAGCTGCTCCAGTGGCTCAATGAGCTGCTGCAGCTGAACTACACCAAGGTCGAGCAATGCGGGACGGGCGGCGCGTACTGCCAGGTTATCGACTCTATCTACCCGGGCGGCGTCCCCATGGCGCGCGTCAAAATGGCCGCGAAACTCGAATATGAGTATGTGGGGAACTACAAGATCCTGCAAACCGTTTTCAAAGCGAAGAAGATCGACAAGCCGATCCCGGTGGAAGGCCTAATGAAGTGCAAGATGCAGTGAGTCTTCGGCGGAAGGGGAGGGGCTGATTAGCGCTGATATTGCGGGGCAGGGACAATCTGGAATTTCTGCAGTGGCTGAAGAAGTTCTGGGATGCGAATTATAGCGGGGAGCCGTACGATGCGGTCGCGCGGCGGAAGGGCGCGCCGGCGGAACCGCCCGCGACCCTCGCGCCTGCGCGCAGCACCACCACTGCCTCAGCAGCCGCGCGTAGGGGGGGTGGGCGGACGCCCGTTAGTGGGCACCGTGCGACGACCCCGAGCGGGATGGCCGTGCAGGTGCAAGCGCTGCAGGGCCAGGTGGACGAGCTCACCACGCACCTCGAGGGATTGGAGAAGGAGCGCGACTTTTATTTCGCGAAGGTGCGTCCTCCCTCCGTCTGCTCTCCGTCGTTTCCCCGAGTACATGCGGTGCACTGAGGGCAACGATTTGTAAAGCTGCGGGACATCGAAATGCTTGTCCAGGCGAGGCTCGAGGAGCTTGAGGGAGCGGGCGCGGCGGACGACGAGACGCTGCTGCAGATCCAGAAGATATTGTATAGTACTGAGGTGAGTGCCTTTGTCTCCTCTTTCCTCCTCTTTTCCTCCCTCCCGCTTTCTTTCCTTGGGGCGGAAGGCTCGCGCTGCGAGATTCCTTCGATGGTATTTCATAACCTTCGACGGCGTTCCGCGGCGCTTCTACGCATCCCCGCACCACGCACGCGGTACCCATCGTGCGTACATTGCCCTCGTTCGCGCCCGCACGTCGCGCGTTGCTGCCGCATACGCTCCCTCGATGCGCGCACGTAGCGCCCATCTCTATTCGTGGGAGTACTCCCGCATACCACGCCTCCATCTTCCTTCCGCCCAGATTCTCTGCTTTGAACCTACTCTCCGAATCTCCCCTGCTAAACAATACTGAGCTCCACACCAGGATGGCTTCGAGGTCCCCGAGGGCGGCGTCGTCGACGAGGAGGAGACGTTCTAGCTGGTGTGAAGGCCCAAGTGCGTACGGCTCCTCTTCCTCTTGAATTCTGCGGGGCCTCCTTTTTTTCTGTGGGATCCGTGCGCGCGATGCCAGTCTTTGTCGCGACGGCGCGCGCGTGTGCGTCGAGCGCCTCCGCTTCCCTTTTAACCACTCTCCTGCTCCTCGCGCATCCAGCATCGCTAACGCCCCCGCACAGACTCGTGCCCCCGCCCGCCTTCGGTTGCCTGCCCAGGCCCGCGCCCGCACCCGCACGCACTCGCTCACATGGAATCCACACCGCCCCGACTTCACGCACGCACGCTTCCTCCCTCGCATTCGCTCGGATCCACATAGTACATATCCGCACACGCTCTACACGCGCTTCCTTGTTGTTACATGTAGATGTGCGCACACCAAAATCTATCTTCGTCTTCCCTTCGGCGTCCTCTTCCCTACTTCAGAATGAGGATTTCGCGCGCGTGCGGCGGGAAATCAAGACACGGCCGGCGGACCCCGCGCCCTCCTATTTGTTTCGTCCCGTGGCAAGACTTTGTGCGGGGCGAACGAGATAACTCTCCCTGAGCTGTTCACCTTTATAGGGAGACTAGATGCCGACATCTACGGGAGCACAGGTAAGGACGAACGGCCCAGTGGCGGATGGTCCGCACCCGCAAAGGATAGATATGCACAAATGAAGTGACTACTTCTGCGGAAGACGCTCGTTCGAATCGAGCCTGGGCCATGAAGTGCTTGTGGTTGCCTTTTTTCGGGGCAAAGTCAAGTTCGGTTCGGATCCGCTCCGCGGAATGAATGCCAAAAATATTATGTGCGGTAGTTGGGTTCCTCTACCGTGCGGCATAACCAGTCCTCCTGGGTAAAACGAAAGAAATGCAGAACGATGATTATGATAGTGGGCCGGACGAAAAACGGACAGTTTTCTGTTATATGGCTCGGGCTCAAATCGAACGAGGGTCTCCCGCAGAACCAAATTTATGGGCGTATCATTATATGCAGGGGCGGACCATCCGCTACCGGGCCTTTTCCTCCTACCTCGAAGCCTCAATAAATCTTTACAATCTATGAAATGGTATAGGATACATTATGAGTCATAATTTCATCAAATTTTACTCCACAATGAGAAGAGATGCTTTGTTACAAATATGAGGAGCCAGCGCGCGGTATTGAGGGCAATAATGCCCGCGCCAGAATGAGTCTTGGGAGGGACCTCCTCGACGATGGCGCGGCTAGGTCCCTCCGCAGAGCTAGACCTTACGTTGCAGATCACCTCGACTGACCTCCCGGTCGCTAGCCGACGATTTGTCTCGGCGGTGCCGAGGCGGCTTACAACGGCATGATCTCGGCCCCTAGCCCCAAATAGACGCACATAGGCCGGCCTGCCGGCCGCTAGATCATGCCGCGTCTAGGGACCCGCTGAACGCAGCGATATAAAGTGACGGAGAGCTGAAACCCAGTTCGGCATATTTCACGCATCAGAACTAAATATCCCTTTTTCAGACTTATGTTCTTGAACTCATTGATGCCACCGCCTTCAATAAAGACGGTCCCGCACTTTGCGAGCAGTTTGAAGATGGATCGCATTCAGCAGTACAACTGCGCCGTCATCTTCTTCGTTACCGATGCCGACGGTGGGAGCAAGAAACGCGGCATTCTCCTTGGGAAAAGTGACCCTACTTGTACCACTTTTTTGACGCGCGGATGCTCATATATTGTGTACTTTCAGTTGATCCTCGGTGACTACTTCAAGGTATATCCCTATGCGAGGGAAATTGCAGAATCCGCGATAGGACTTATCGGTTGGATCAACAATCACGAGAAGGTCTGCAAGATATTCGACGGTGTCCAGGCGCAGCTCACCAAAGAGCGCACCAACAAGATCATCGTTGATCAGCCTCAGCACCACCTAAGCACCGATGGAACTAAAACCTAGTCAAGTCCGAGTCACGTGTCAGTTCAAGTTCAAGTCACAGCGAGTCAATGCTCACTCAGCAGCTCACTAAGCAACGAGTCAGTTTCAGGCCAAGTAGAGTCAGTGCTCAGTAAGGTGTATTCTATTAACTCAGTTGGAATTACCGTGATTCAGTAGTAGTCATTTTCCTTAGTTGTGCTCTTTATCATTAGCGTTGTAAAGTAGTATAAATTGGGCTCATGTCCTACACTATTGACAAGTTTTCTTCCTCGCATTTAAGCGCCCATTAAGCGCTTGGTGTGACCAAGCAACCCTCCAGACTAGTTTCCTTTAGTTTGCTATCGTATTCGCGGTCTTCGTCGTCGCCGCGCGGCCCTTCGTCGCCAGTCCTAGTTGTCCCCGCCCAAGTCCTAGTTTCCATTTTGCTTTAGTTGCCACCTCAGTACAGTCCTAGTTCCCAGGTACAGCTCTTGTGACACTCCTAAACGGGTGTTGGAACGAAGTCAAAGCCAACTCGCACTTACACCAACTCTTCGGTCTTCTAAACCAATTATGAGAGAAAAGGTATTTTAGCTTTGCCTTTTGTTTGTTGCATTTACACTCTCAGAAGCACCGACGGCGTATCATCGTTCTGGCTTACCTCCTCGCCAATCTGACTCGTTGGACCCCTTTGTTGCCTTCATGCGACTCCTGATTTTGCAGGACTATTTACGGTTTGCCGTGATGCAGAGCCGAGGCGCAATCATTGCTGCCCAAGTCGGGGCTGCCAAATCCACGGAAAAGCAACGTCTGGAACAGGAAACGGTATCTTACTGTGACCTCATTGGGTCTCACGCGTTTTGGTCCGGCCTCACTAGCGTCGTCGAGGACCTTGAACCGATCTGTTACGGGACTAATATTAGGATTCAACGCGTGCTGACCAAGTTCTCTTGACCTTGGCCAGGGTCTATCTTCATTTCGTCGATCATCCGGAAACTGCTGTATCGTCCGCTTTGGTGAAGCGCATCGAAAAGCGTTGGGCTGATTATGATCAGCCGCTGTACTTAGTTGCGCTAATCTTTAACCCATTCGAGGGTCTGTCGTGCTTCGGGCCGAAGGCTGATTTGATCACTTCAAATTGACTTCAAAGCTACTTCGCTCGTCGTCCATGTAAGCCTCTTACTCCATCCCTTAGTGCAGCCGCTGACTTCCTGTCCCAGCTCTATCACCGCATGATGGACTACCCCGAGAACGACGATTCCGCCGCGGTAAGAGCGGAGAAAGAACGCCTTGTCGCCCAAACGATGTGGGAATATCTCTCATCGACAGAAGGTTTTTAAGGTTTAAAGAAAGCCGGGAAGAGTTTGAATCTACAATGGTATTTTTGGCATATCGGGCTATACATTGATCTGACATTTCGGGCGCAGGGTAAAGATCCTGTTGCGGTTTGGACGGCGCTCCAGAGTTCTGGTTCCTGCAAGGAACTCGCCCAATTCGCTATCTTGGTTCTCATGGTCGTTATCAATCAAGCTGCCTGTGAACGGGTGTTTTCGCAGGTAATGAACGACGACCCCGCATCAAAGGTCGGATATTGCGCTGCTTCTTTAGTACACTCATTCAAATTTTAATACAGGCCAACGGCGGAATCCAGGACGCCCACCTCCGTGAAGGCCCGAATCCGATGCGCGACAAGCGCAAGAACCGCTCCTCGGTCGACAAACCCCTGACTGTCCCATATGCATGCTATCGAGACCTCCTAGAAGATCAGGATGACGAGGACGAGGGCGAACACGACCGCGCTCTGGTGTCTAGTCCTGCGACATGGAAAGTTGAGATGGCAAAATGGATCGCCTCCGTTCGGGAAGCTGATGTGATGGAAGTGGAGGACCCTCCGTCCGAGTCGGAATCGCCCAACATCAAAGTCAGCAATCGCAAGTGGTTCAAAACTTCGTTCGCCGTTCTATTTGGTGGCCCCGACGCAAAGCGAGACTCACCACTCGGATTCAGGCGCAGCTGATGGAGGCATTGGCAGACGCTGAGGAGGATGCTCGTATGGAGGATGAGGACGGAGATCCCTTCTGAGGATGAGTACGACCCGTAGATGTGTCTTACGTACCGCTACCTACAAAATCTAGATTATTTCCTAAAATAGAATTAATTAAGGCCTTAACCGCGCCCTTAAGCCTTAAGGGTCCCCAGCGCGATCCCTTAAGCCTTAAAGGCCAACACTGCTTTTGCCTCGAGGGCTGCCATGTACCTCTTAGTTCGCTGTCCTCACCGGAGGCTTGGGACGCGACTCACGATGATTTAGACGTCACGGCGGCCTGTCTGCCTTGGCGACAGCACGGGCGCAGGTCATCGAACTCTCGCTTGTCGGCACAGTTACGGCATGGCGCACGGTTCATTGATGTAAGATTTTGAGATGGGAAGCGCCACTCCTTTGTCGGCGCGTCAGGCCGTGATTAATCTCATGAACCCCAGATATACATTAAATAACACCCTATTCCAGTCGTTGAACGTGCCATCGCGTTGAGAACTTGGTATCAATCTACGATGGGAACTTGTCGACTTGGGAAGACCATCTCTGCATCCGAGGGTCGGGGTGAGAAATGGGCACCTACAATGCACCCGGTGAAGAGGAACCGAGCCTGGATCAGTAGCAACAGCGGAGCTGGGGAGGATTTATACGACAACCTTGCGAGTGTCGACAGCCTATGGGGGTAATAGCCATCTTCGTCACTTCGCTTATTTTCACGAGACCTCGTCACTTTGATCGCATTTAGGGAAAGTTCGTTACTTCCGATGATTTTCTGTGAAAGTTCGTCATTTTAACTCGGCACGTTCAAGAACCTGGAAGCATCGGCCATCATTGGTCCTTCGGCACAAGGCAGGGCGGGTTTTTTCATATAGAGACCTTACCCTAACGCTAACTGCTAACCATAACCCCTAACCCCTAACCTCTAGCCTCTAACCACCTAACCCGAACCTAACCGGCCACGCTCGGCACACTGCTGATACCCATCATCTCCTGATGCGCTGAGGAGTTGCCGTGTAACAAACAACTCACGAACTTCCCCAAAAAGGCACCTTGATCAATATCCGGACTCCGTGGGAGAACATGATGCTGTCATTATATGTAAATCAGGCTCTTGCCCCCCGACATCAACGATCTATTACTGACTTATGCCCGCAAAATGCTAAATCCTGACAGTGCCATAACATATAAATCTGCATCCCAGGCTGTGGATTCTTCCCCTTTCCCATCCTCAAGATGCCCCGCAAACCTACCATTATTGATATCCACCTGAACAGCATTGTAGCCTGTTTCAATGCCATTCTCCCGGTGCTGAACGAGCTTCACGATAGTTTTGGAACTCCTTTCATCCAGGCCATTTCAAACACAACCCTCAACCTAATTTCCACCGTGCAGGTAATAGAGAAGAGTACCCTATACTCTCACACTGACTGAGCCTTCCAGAATGTGAAAAACAACAAGGACGAGTGTGTTCAGCTAATGCACAACATACATAAAATTCTGTTTGCTATTGTCATGCTTCATATGCAATCTGAGCCACAAGGGTCCCTTGCACCTTCTACTTTGGATCACATTGGAACATTCACAAAGTGAGTGTCTCCGATGCTACCGGAGCTTGTAAATTCAGGATAGTGTAGCACACTGCACAAGATACAGACATTCTTAGAAGGGCAGCAAGAGAAGAACAGTATCAAGCACTTTCTTCGGCAAAACGAGATGAGGGCCCTCCTCAAAGATTGTCGGGCAGGATTACAGCAGACTTTGGAGGTGTTCAAGGTATGCTTTATGCCAATGTCTACTTGAGCCCATTTGAATTCCGGGGGAAAATCAGATTGAGAGCGGGGACACAATGTTGACATATGCTCTCAAAATGCAGGAAACAGCGCAAAAACTACATGAGGAACTCCTCGAGTTGATTTCGAACATGACAGAAGGAAGTTCGGACAAGTCATCCTCTGTATACCAGAGTGTCACTGGCTCCCAAAATAGGTACCGGAATCTGTTGGACATGAACCTGCTCATTGATCATCTTTGAAAGCTTGATTTCTTTGAGTCTGTTGCCAGCCAAACCAAAGATATTTCATGGGCGTGAATCAGAGCTCCATCAAATTGTTCAAACTTTCAAGCATAAAGAACCACCCAGAATCGCAATTCTTGGGACTGGTGGAATCGGCAAAACAACCCTTGCCAATGCCGCGCTCCATCACCCAGACATCAGTGCAGACTATGAAACCAAGATTTTTGTGGCCTGTGATTCAGCTACCACCAGCATTGAACTGGCAGCCTTGGTTGGATCCAATCTAGGGCTAAAGCCAAGGAGGGACCTCACAAAAGCTGTTGTCCAATATTTTACTCTTGAACCACAGTGTCTCTTGGTGTTGGACAATCTGGAAACCTCATGGGAGAAGATTGAGTCACGTGGTGGGGTTGAGGAGTTTTTGTCTCTCCTTACTGATGTACAATAGCTTGCACTGATAGTAAGCATATCTGAATACTGTAATTCACTTTCTGATTTTAACCAGATAACAATGCGGGGTGCAGAACGGCCAGCCAAGGTCCGCTGGAGCCACCCGTTACTGACACCTTTGAAGCCCTTATCCAATGATGCGGCTCGACAGATGTTCATTGACATCACAGATATTGTCCATGATGACCATGAAATAACTCAGCTCCTCCAGCTTACAGATAACATGCCTTTGGCAGTTGATCTTTTGGCTCATCTAGTTGACTATGAAGGCTGTTTCAATGTCCTGGACCGCTGGAAGACGGAGAAAACATGCATGCTTTCGGAAGGCTATGACAAGAGCTCCAACTTGAACTTATCAATTGCTGTTTCACTTTCCAGTCCTCGAATGACATCTGGGGCTAAAGAACTATTGAGTCCTCTCTCGATTCTTCCGGATGGTCTTTCAAACGTAGAGCTTCTCCACAGCAACCTCCCCATTTGTGATCTACTGACATGCAAAGCCGTGCTACTTCAAACATCTCTGGCATACAACGATAACATGCGGCTCAAGGTGCTGGTTCCTATCCGGGAGCAGGTGCAGCATGTGCATCCACCATCACCAACCCTGGTCCAGCCTCTTCGAAAGCATTTTCATTTGCTCCTTGATTTGTATCGAACCCATTTCGGAGTGCAGATAAATGGGATGGCTGATCAAATAAATTCCAATCTTCGCAACATCCATGACATCTTACTGCCAAGTCTCCATCCGGACAACCCTGAACTCGTGGAAAATATTTATTGTGTGCTCTCTTTCAACTCTTTTAGACGGCTTGCTGGACATGGTCGGTCTGCATTGATGGATCACATCCCACGGCTATTGCCTCAGCTACATGATCCTAGGCTGGATACCAATTTTACCATGGAGGTGCTCCTGACAGCAAATCATTATCCTGTTTCCAATCCAGACATCCTCATTGACCGAGCTGTCCATGGCTTGGCAAATTTAAATGATGCAGCACTTGCTTGTGAGTGTCGGATCTTAATTTGTTCATTATGATCCTGATAATAATCTCTTGGAAGCTAAATTCTATGATGTTGCTGGAGGGTATTATGACAACCGGAGAAACAATATCGTAAAGAGTCTGCAATTTTTTGATGAATCCCTTACATTGGCCACAAGCTGTGCAAATGTCCAGCAGCAGGCTCGCACATTAAATAGTCTTGCTCTAACAAAGCGTGCCATTGGTGATTATTCAGGGGCCCAAAGACATGCTCGTGAAGCACAAAGGATGTCACAGATCTGCGGAAATGTATATCAAGAAGCTTTCGCGCTGAATAGTCAAGCATCCTGCTGTTTGAATCTGGGCAACAATAAAGCTACAATTCCATTATGTCAAGAAGCAAGGCAGCTTTTGCAGTTGTGTGGCATGGAGCATGGGGGACTATATCATAGCATGATGGCCACTGAGGCCGCTGCTTATTGGAAGAAATCAGAGTACATCAGTGCTCACAGCATGTACACGAGGATTGCAAAGAGCAGTACAGCTAACAAAGACCCCTGGAATTTGCTTCTGGCCTCATCAATATTGCCGAGATTGATTTGGTGACTGCAATGCCTGAAACCGATGTCTATTCCAACATCAAAAAGGCGCAGGAAATATTCACTGCTATGCGGGTCCCTTCAGCCATTGATTACTGCCAAATGGTGTTGGCAGATCTGAAGCTCAGAGAGGGGAACACTGCTGACGCGGCAATCCTATTCCAGGAGAGTATGAATTCCCAGCGGGGTAAGGACGCTAGCACTGTGAGTTATGCTCTGGAAAGGCTTGCCAATATTCGCTGCTGGCCCTCTGATGAAATTATGTGGTCCTCGAGCTGGGCTGTGGTATATCTGGCTTATGCCAAGAAGGCAAAGTGGAAGGTTGAACTTTACAAGGCACTTCAATTTTTGGGGGATGGGTTCATGTTGCAGGGGGATGAACACACAGCACACAGTCTCTTTGCAGTAGCCCTAGAGGCATTCACAGAGATGGATATTCATCGCAGCCGAGGGAATTGCATGCTCCGTCTTGGTGATATTGCAAAAACGAGAGGGGATCTCGTCGAGGCAGTCAGACTGTGGACAGATGCTCGCCCACTGTTTGAACGGTCATCGCAAGCAAACGAGGTTGCCAAAATTGACACCAGACTTGCTGCTGTTGACGCGGATAGTCGGCAGCAGCACGAAGGGTCATTGCAGATTCTCAGCTGCCTGGATGCACCGATGACATCTTTGGACACTGCGCTTGATCAGTTGAATATCGAAGTAGCGAAGGATACGGATCCCAGTACAGAACCAACATATGCTCCTTTCTAACTTATAGTCTCTCGTCTTCTCTACACCGCTTTTATTTATATTTCTGTAGTTTTTCGATCTTCCTTACCACAATGCCTATCTCAATTCTATTTACTGATTTATTTCCCGGAAGCAAAACGTAAAATGCAGTAGTGAACTTCAAGACCGATATGAATTGAATGCCTCCACATTGCGAAGTAAACACCCGAGCTCCCTATCAACATCGTCAACTGCAGTAACGTTTGCACCACCTAAAGTTAGTGGGCAGCATGATCATCGTGAACAGGCCCGCGCATGACGCGCGGAAGCGAGACGCCCACTTCCACCTCGTGGTCCCGCGCAGCGTCACGGCCGTCTTCCGCGGGCGTGGCACGACTCCCCCGCCCCAGCGCGAGTCACCTAATCTCCAAGGAGACAATCGTCTGCGCCGTCGCGTTCCGCGTGCTAAGGCATCGGCTGGGATCTCCCTGCGACTTAACAGCTGCATGTGTATCCATGAAAACGCATTAATTTCAGCTGTTTTCGATGTAAATGATCGCGAGCCACCGCCAGCGGACCTCGCGCCCTCCTATTTGTTGTACCCCACAGCGGTAAACAAATTACGAGTACTCCGGAGCGCGGCAAGATTTGGCGGGAGCAGCGGCGGGGGTCGCGCGAACGAGATAACTCTTCCCGAGCTGTTCACCTCTATAGTATAGGGAGATTCCGACATCTGCGGGAGCACAGATAAGACAGAAAGGCCCAGTGGCGGATGGTCCGCGCTCGCACAGGATAGGCGGGTATCATGAAAATGACTACTTCTGCGGAAGACGCTCGTTCGAATCGAGCCTGGGCCATGACTCGATCGATCGTTTTTTTTGGAGGGTCAAAGTCAAGTTCGATTCGGATGCCTTAAAATATTACGTGCGGTATTGAGTTCCTCTACCGCGCGGCATAACCAGTCCTCCTGAGTAAAACGAAAGAAATGCAGGACGGCGATTATGATAGTGGGCCGGACAAAAAACAGACAATTTTCTGTTATATGGCTCGGGCTCGAATCGAACGAGGGTTCCCGCAGAACGGAAATTAGGGAAATATTATATGCAGGGGCGGACCATCCGCTACCGGTCCTTTTCCTCCTACCTTCGATCCCTTGATAATTCTGCAACGTACAACGTTGATTTGTACTAGTACGTACGTAGTGTGTGGAACTCCGAAATCGAAGACTGGTAGCAGTCGAGCTGCCTCTCCCTCCTTGAAAATAAAAAAGCCTAAAATCACATCGTCGATGACTCGGGCTCGACTCGAACGAGCGTGTCTCGCAGGAGAGAGAAGGCGGTCATTTATTCGTTGCGAGTGCGGACCATCCGCCACCGAGCCTTTCTCTGCTTGTCATTTCCAGAGCCAAGTGTGTAACCCCCAGACTACAGAATACAATTTAAAGCATTTGGGATTCAGTACATGTACGGACCATACGCGCCCGCGCCCGGCGTCCCTTCTATCACAACAATAGCAATACAATCAAATGCTCGATGGGGAGCGCAGTACGGAAAGTCGCACATCGCGAGATGATCGGAGCCCAGATCCACCTTCTAAAGAGACGGGTTAAAAAGGGATGGTACGAAAGGCGAATCCGCGGATCGAGAGGAAGTAGATCGGTGGTCCTGCAGCGGCCGGAGGGAGCGCGGACTAGCAGACGAGGGATTACGCTGTTATCGTGACGCGGACCTGGTGGTGAGTCGAGCGCGGGGAGGGGAACGCGCGGAGAAGGGCGTGGAGCTTGGCGCTGCCACGGCTCTTGTGCGGGGCTCCGGGCAGGTGGGGCGCGGAGAGAGACGTGGGGTCGTCGCTGTCCGCTGTGGAGTCGGGGGGCGAGGCGAGATGCCCATGCCGTGTGCGCTGGAACATGCCCCCGGCGCTGCTCAGCCGGAACGACACCTCGACCTCGAGCGCCGCGCTCAGCCCCGCGTGGTGCGCGAGCAGGTCCGCCTCGGTGACGCCCAGCTCCCAGTCAAGGACGTCGAGGAACTCGCGCTCGATGCGCCCCACGTCGCGCGTGTCGAAGACCCCCGAGTACAGCGCCCAGTGCGTGTTCTTCAGCGCGCTGTCGTGCGTGTACTTCGTCGCTGCGATCAGCGCGCCGAGCCACACGCGCTCGCGCGCCCATTGTTCCTCGTCTATCGACAGGTGCGGGCGCACGCGCATGACGTAGACGAGCGCGGTGAGGACCGCCGCGGGCGCCACTTCCGCGCGGGCGATAAGGGTAGACACGAAGAAGACGAATTTGGTGTGGAAGCGCGAGCGCGGGCGGGTGCGCTTATGCGTGGGCTGCGTTGTGATGTTGCAGCGGCCCATGGCGACGTCGATGGTCTCGGCCACGCACTCGACGATGTAGTCTAAGAGATGAGTGAGATGATAAATGAGAGAGCGTCCGGGGAGACTCGCCGATGACGGGGCGCGAGAGCTTCATGTCGATGAGTTCGATCAGGAGAGGCGAATGGCTCGCGGGGTCGACGAGCGACGCGGCATGCACACGGCCGCCCGTCGCGCAACTCGAGGCGGTCGTGCTCGTCGTAGAGCTCGAAGATGAAGACGAGTCCGAGTCGGAGGCAGGCGAGCTCATGGAAGTCGAAGCAAAGACGAATCGGAGGCAAACAGGCAAAGCACGAGCATTTGAATCTTCTGCGGCGGGGGTACCTGTGGAGGCCTAGTGTATGGCAGCGGGCAAGCGGCGGGCACCTCTGATGGGGATCTGCCGGAGTCAATGGAGGTCAGCCTGATTGGGACTAGTGCTGTGCTGCCCGTCAGCGCCGCTGAGTAAGCGGGCGGTCTCTGGCGCACAGATTTCCCCACCGGAGGCCCGAGCTTCTGCTTCTTGCCTTTTCGTCTTAGTGCATGGATGATACTGAACGGTCAGTGAAAAAGAGGAATTTCGTCGTCAAACCTGTACAAAAGTGTGATAGAATCAGCCTGCGAGAAAAAGAGGGGGTGGCCTGGCCTCGCCTCGAACGAGGGTCTCCAGTAGATCGAGACCCGGGTGCATCAGGTTCTTGATATACTGTGCGGGTGCGGGCAGCGGGGTTCAGCGGCGTCATTCCAGTCCACCGTCGAGCTCCGCATCTCCATGCATGGCTGGCAAGATTTTAAAAACCGTCCTTCTCGCCCTCGCAACCTGGTCAAATCAGTTATCCTTCTGAGGGAATCGACGGTGACCCGGAGATGCAGAAATGTTTGGACTCGCCAGGCCCTGCATAGTAATATCAACGGAATATAAAGCTCCCACCGACATCATCGACACTCACCGCACCAAAAAAAAAATCAACAATCTGCGGCAAACAAGACCCGGGCCCGAATCGAACGAGCGTCTCCTGCGCACGGCAAGTCGTACACACACCGCGCGCAGGCGCGAACCATCCGCCACCGGACCTTCCTCTCTGAAGGACGAGCCTCGTGAAGTCAGTAGCCGTCTGTGAGTGTTGAAAGTGGGAGGAAACACACCAGCGAGTATTGCGGTGAGTGAAGCATCTGGTTCATATTGGGACTCATCGCGCAGTAGATTGAGACCTAGATCACGAGGGAACCTCCCGGGGCTTTCGAAGAAGAAACAGACGCAGACACGGCGTACATGCATGTCGGCCTCCAGTTCGGCCCGCTCGGAATCGTGCGCGACGCGAGGCAGCAAGTGGCAAGTAAGCAGTTCGATGGGGAAATGTGGCCGGGCGAGATGACCGCGGCTGTCGAGGGAGGGGTACGGCCCCAGGTACAAGCAGGACGTCAGGATTGCCACCGGGCGATTGGCAGGTTATTTAAGGATTGTGGGATCTGAGGGGAAGTGTGAGCCATACTTCCGCCAGATAATCAATCAAGTACTGGCCGGGACTTTAGAGGTGCGTTCCCTCAAGTAGGCGGCGGCCAGAAAGCGAGCAGAGAGATCAACTACATAGCTTGATCCGCCCCCGAAGATCGAGTATTGCGAGCGAAAGAGACTGGAATCAGAAGGTGTGTATGAGTGGGAACACCGAGATATTACGGATAGTGATGTACGAGCACGATCCTGACGGAATATCCGGCTTCGGTGGAGTGCAAAATAGCAGTGAGCCCAGAGCGGACCAAGCTACCTCAGGAGTTTACAAATGAAGGCACATCGGGCCCGGTCACAGTGAAGAGCACGGCGAATGACGAGAGTCCAGATGGAAGATCTAGTAGAGGGGCATTTGGTCCTAGTCGGCATGCAAAGCTTCGAAGTGCAAGAATTGGCGAGGAAATTGACTCCGGTGGAGTATAGAAGCACGGATGAGTCGAGGACAGGTCAGAAATCTAGCTGAAGTTCTGAGTCAAAAAGGCGAGGAGCCGTGGTGGTGATGGTAAAAGCGAAAGAGGCGAGCAGTGTGGTCCTGTTTGTCGGCCTCCCGAAACGGGACTAACCCTAACCCTGTTCTTTTTGCCTCTTTCCTCTCAGCGCCATCAAGGCCGCGATGAACGTTTTGCTCCGTTCTACCATGCAACTCTTCCTCAGGTCGTGCTACTCCCGCTATATCGCGGTGTCTACTTGCGCTGCTCGGAGCTGGCTATGTAGCCCCGATTGACTCGGAGACCATCGGCAGACTCGACTCAATATCGCGCAGCGGAGTGCCAGCGACGTAGCAGGCGCAGCGCCATGCGTCAAATACTCTAATCGCAAGATTACCGGTAATGCCTGCTCGTCTACGTCCCGGGGCCCTGGAATTATTCAATCTCGGGAGTCGACTAGAGTCTTGACAAGTTGTGAGGCTATTTCTCGGCACACGATTCCGAAGCTCGCATCTGTCATCATCCAGGTTTCTCTCCCTCCTTTGCGCGTTCGCCTTCGTTCCACCGTCCTGCGCTGACACCAATGGATATACCACAACAACGGCGGCGGCGCTCTCCACAGCACCGCAACCGACTGGCGATTGTGCGGTAAGCTTACAGACACTCCTTCGCCAACTTCGTGACGACACTTGGCCTGCGTGTAGGTAGATGGGATATTTCTACTCTCAGCAGGGACTTCCGCGTACGTTCCACAATTTTCACGACAACATACACGTTCACGGCTTATCAGGATCGGAGGTATGAAAGAAAGACCCGGTGGCGGATGGTCCGCACCTGCACGGAATACGCCCAATGAACGCTATGCGCAGGAGGTGCTCGTTCCAATCGAGCCCGGGCCATGATGATGTTGTCCCTGTGACTATTTTTCACTCTCGTGTTTATTCTATGCGGAGGTAGCTCGTCGCGCAGGAATGAGAGGAAAGGCCGCTTCGGTTCACGGGCTTGCGTTTGCGCTTTATCATTTTTGGTTGGACTGCGGTAAGTCCGCTTCGAGCGCTCAAATAGAAGGCTGCAGAAAGATGTTACCTGACTTCACCAGGTTGAGGGGGATGAGGCAAGGCCCTGCTGGCGGATGGTCCGCACCCACACCATTATGAAAAGAGCGGAAGTATTTCACGCGGGCTCCTCGTTCGATTCGAGGGCAGGGCCATTACATTGGATAAGTACCATTCTTTTATCATTCTGTGGTTCCGAAGATTGGGGTCGCTTGAGTTTCTCAATTTTTTGACTAGCTTCGTTCGTGTGGTGGCAGCTCGTGCAGCAGCCAAATTTCTCCGCGCCATCTTTTGTCCTAGCAAGATGAAGGCTATAATTGAACACAAAGGAGGATCCGGTGGCGGATGGTCCGGGCCTGCAGCCGATTTCGTGTATTATTGTCAATCTTTTCGGGGGGCTACGCTCGTTCGATTCGAGCACGGGTTGTGAATCAAATTCTTGTTAGCAGGTTCTTAGCCTTTTTAAGGAAGATACTACAGGTGAGCTTTTGGTCGGCTCACCTGTGGTCAAATTACATGAATGCGCTGCACAGGAATCGCGGTCGAATTAAGGACAGTGACTATGTTGCTCTAGGGCAGAGATCGGCGATGTTGCACGCAGCAGACCATCCTTTGGGAAGACTAATGTTGTGAGCCGAACTTCGGAAGGTGAGAGTCCAGAGGAAAAAAGTGCACGTAAAAATAGATTTGAGAACAACCCCTGGTTGAACACGGTACGGATACTCCGCACGTTATGGGATGATCCAGTGAACGGCTCACCATCGAAGTTAACAAGCCAAACTATCACTCCGAACGTTCACTTCAGAGTGCGTAGCCACGATGTAGGGGAGCGGAGGACCCCGAAATTTTACGGACAGTCGTCTCTGGATCTCACAGAGGCTCGCCGCATCACAGAGACAGCCTGCCAGAATCTGAAGAGAGGATTTCCCATTATGTCAATCGTGCTGGGCCATACGTTCCCACGACAAGCCTGCTGCCATGATCCGGGCGGCATTTCGCCGACCGTGTGTTTCTTGTTTCTCTCCCCCATGTCTCCCAGTGCTCTCGATGCCACCGGACCACCCCCGCTGCGTGCCCGCATCGTGATGCTCGCCTACGAGTTACTCCTCAGCGCCACGACTTCCTTCCTCCTCACTCTCGCGCTCCTTCCGCTGTTTGACCTCCATCGAGCCCCGCTCCTCGTCCTCCGAGTGACGGGCCTCTTCACCGTGGCCGTATTCATCGCTCTGGATGTGGTCTTTCAAATCGTTTGGAGTCACCGTTCCAACAATATCCCGAACAACGGCCCGGAATCCTTGCGGAAATGCACGGCGGGGGACGCGGAGGCGGGGTGGCCGCCCGAGAAGGTGGAAGGCACGGGATGCACAGCGGGATTATGATGCGGTGCGCCACGCGTGATCCGCCTCCTGTGCATCCCTGATGCGCTGCCCCAAGGGTTCATTTGTCGCTTCTTTGTGGCCGACCTTCAAGTTCGGGCTCTTGGGATTATGGGCTCCTCCCGGCACGCATACTTCATTTTTGTATTATTGGGTTCTGGGTCACTAGGTTTAATGGATTTAGAGGGCGGAGCTGTCGCCATCACATTCGCAATTAATACGCGTATCACACGCATGAATCTATCAGACTCTTGCCCAGCTGTGGAAACCCCTCTTGTCAGAGAACATACCAGGACTCTCGAAACACTTTCACCACAAACTGGAAACTGGAACCAAAATAGCTCCTGAAGAATATATATATATGTGGAAGGCTGCAGGAGAGTATGTGGGTACGGACCATTCGTCACCGGGCCTTATTCTTCTTGTCATCCACCTAGATATACACTCACTCGAAGAGGACGGGATCTGACTACGATCCTCGGTGTTGTATAAAAAGGAGGGACGGTGTCGTGTATGGCCCGGACTCGATTCGAACGAGCGTCCCCTGCAGATTCGTATTTGATTCTGCCACACTCTGTGCAAGTGCGGACTGAGCCTCTTCCTCTTCTCTATCCACCTAAATATGCACGAGAGATATGACGAGCCTGTTTAAGTGCGGACCGTCCGCCACCAAAACTTCTTCTCCTACTTGTTCCCCGACATTTGTGAGCGGGTGAACTTTACAGACGGAAAGAGAAAAAGACCAATACAGATTCTTCAATCTTTCCCGTAGTTGTTTTGCTTTCGGCCTAAGCAATCCAGATGCGGACCGTCCGCCACTGCTCCACAACTGGGCCTGGCCAACTCTGTATCTGTCATACTGAAGGAGCGCGAAATGCTCTTGGTAAGAGCATGGCGCATCTAGACAATAATCTATGCGTCCTCAAATTAATGGTGATGCTTTGCTTTACAACTGACTCTGATGGCATTTACACTCACTGCCCAAAAAAAACGTCCTGACTTCAAGGCCCAGTCTCGAATCGAGCAAATGCTCTTCTGCATCATTCGCAAACAGGTGCGGGTGCGGACCATCCGGCGTCACTGTGCCTTTGCCTCCCCCTTCAATAACTAAATAAATCTTACAAATTGGCTCCCGGCCGGGATATGGTAGTCTAAAATGGCACAGGCGTCGCTTTTGTCCGCATAATCAATGAACGAAAAAGGGGGGAATTTGGAATATTAGACAGGATGTGCACGAGCCGCATGCGGCTTTTGACACTTGTGCAAAGCCGCAGCGGCTTTCCTGTTTATTTTGAGTCAAGCACCACCATTGCACCTCCGAGCTTCTATTCGATGCCTGACACACTTAAATCTTCAATAGTGTGGAAAAACTTCTGCCAACAGAGCTCGCGAAACCCGTTTTTTTAACGGCATCGTTCAAGCCGCTGAATTGTAGGCTGCTCTAACACACCGTTGGTGCTCAGCCCGGACAGTCTCAGGATATAACCATCTACTATACACTTGTTTTACATGTATTCTACTGAGATGTATGTTGTTGAGGCCCCAAATATTCTGTTCTCCCTGCGGCTTTGCACAATGACCAAAAGCCGCATGAAGCCGCATGCGGCCCATGCGGCTTTTGTACATCCTGTCTATTTCTATGCCCCGTACTCGGCTCGAACGAGCGACTACCGCAGACGGAATTGTGTTCGCGATCTGCGGACCAA